TGGGGTGTGTCTCCATGCTTCTCGCTTCCCTCTTCTCCTGCTCACCGATTTGAGATTTCTGCCTCAGAAACTGCACACCCTGGGGCTCCTGTCGGACTCCTGGCAGGGACGTTTATCACCAGAGATTGAGCTTGCCCTGGTGCTGCAAACCACTCCGACTTGTCCTGGATTCCCACCGCTTCGCAGCCGGGGGCAAGGACGGACTGTGCCTCCACTGGAGCACTCCTCTCTCCGTTCTGCCTGACGCCCGGCCTGAGGACTCTGCCTTAGCGGGGCTGGAGGTACAGGGAGCGCGCCACGGGAACTCTCCGATCTGCTCTCTGAGACCCCGAGCCTCAGCAGCCGCGGGTGCGGGCTGTGCCTCCACGCGCCTCGCCTCCCTCTTCCCCCACTCGCTCGGTCTGCCCACCTTTAAGTAGTCGGCGTGGGAGTCCCTTCGCTGCTCAGCTTGCTCAGTAGAGGTTAGTTTGCTGCACTCCAGCTGCTCAAATTGCTGTGCTTTCCAGGGGGAGAACTCAGGGAGCCCTCCTCACCACCGCCATTTTTTCTGCTAATGCTAATGCTATACATTTTCACTGTTTTTCATGTGGTATGTTCACACTTTCTATGTTTTCCATATTCCTCCCCTCAGTTTTTCTATCTGAAAAATTTTTATTGATCCATTGTCACATTCACTAATCCTCTTTGCTTAGTCTACAATTAAACACATCTATGGAATCTCTGATTCAAATTATGTGTTTTATGGTTTAGAATTATCATTTGTGGTGTCCATGAGAATGCACCTCTCATTTTCAAATGTAAGGAGCATAACTGACCATTTGTCCCAGTTGCTGCACTCTGAAGTCCTTCACTTTGTGCTTAAGCTGTAATTCCCACAGGCTGCTCCCAGCCAGTGAGCTCAGCAGAAATACTAAGGCCAACTTGATCCTGAGAGATGGGGGACTCCTCTGCCAGGAGAGTTTGATTTAAGGACTCCCCAACATCCTTGCCAAATATGCCTTAGAACTGCACTTCAGTATAAGGTCCTTCCAGACAATCTTCCTCCCTTTCCTCTCTTTTTCTCCTGGGGTTATATCTGGGTTCTCCCAAGATCTCTCCCCATTTCCTCTCTGTTTTGGTATGTATCTGGGATTTGTTTTAATCAGGTATGGTAAGGTGACAGCGATAGACTGATACCTGCCTTGAATGAGGAGTCTATTACTTACAGTTCCCAAGAGAAGGGGGCATACCATGCCATGCAGGACTACATGGGGAAGCACCAGCGTTGCTCACGAGGCAGAAGGAGAGGTGGGAGCATGGACCAGAACCTTTATTGTGGTTTGGTGGCAAGGAAGGGGTGAAGCAGGGTAAACATCTGAACAGATTTAGGATTAGATAGTTTGAATGATTTTGGAAGGCTATGGGTTATAGAAATAGTCCCTAGTTGTCTGGTACCTGGTCCTGGGGTGATTTAGGGCAGTGTGAATATTGGCTTAGTGTGTGAGAGTTAGATAAAGGAGGTGGTTGGGGGTCTTGTCTCTGGGTGGTTGGTTTGCATATCAAAGGCATGCTTGCATGCAAGTTGTTTGCTATTTCTAGGAATTATCTAACCCTGGGAGGGTTAGTCCTTCCCTGGGTCCACAAGCCCTCTAGAGGTCAAAACATCATAAAATATAAAAAATATATAGAACACAATCCATATACTCTCACAAGTGTTTCTCCTAATGAATATCTTGCACATTTAGTCTTGTCTTGGCTTCTGTTTTGTTTTTTGTTTTTTGTAAGTCCCAAATAACACATCATTAAAAAAAACAAACCAGTTTGCTGGTAAAATTCTTCATCTTTTATACATCCTCTTGAACATGTGATGTGTACCCAGATTCTCTCTTCACTGAAGGATCCATTGGTTCCACTGCTAGGAGTGCTGTTGGCAGACAACCTTCAGCTGTGAGAAACTCCAGGGATTGCCTTAGCAGAAAGCCACTGTGTCATGGTCATGCCCCTATAATGGCCCAACCCCACTGATTGACGCAAGAGCATAAAAGCCTGCTGATCTTTGCTTAGGGTGACACAACTACGAAAGCCAGTTCTTTCCTTAGCGCTCCCATTGAGTTTAGACTATTGTAGGGCCTACACCATGACTCAATTTTCTCTTCCAAGTCAAGCTCCCCTCCCTTCCGCAAGTGCATTCCTGAAGAAACTGATTCAGAGTTAGCTTCTGAGGGATCCACAACACAACAGTATATAGTTTACCTGTGGACTTTCTCTATTGCCTGTTCTTACTTTTGATTACCTGGTATACTGAATTTTTATTAAATAACAGAAATTGTATTTAAGTGATTATAGGGACTCTGGGTGATATTGCTTTTCCCCAAAGGGGGTTTTCTACAGGAAGTCAGAGACTGGATAGTTCACCTTATTCCAGTTTAGATTATATTTCAGACTTTGTAAAAGCTGCTCATTTTCTAGTTTGCTCTCATTCCCAGGGTGACGCCCTTCTGTTGTCTCAAATGGAAGCCTAGGATGTTGATCAATGTGACTACTCTTTGAAAGGCCCTTGAATTTCAACGTTTATTTCTTTAGCACTGAGACAGCTAAAATCTCTGATTTAGCATTATGGTCTCTCAAAAGCTGCTTTTTGTTTGTCTTCTCATATATATAGTTCAGCCTAGGAATTATCAAATTCCTTATGGGGAAGTTACATGGAGAATGTCAGGTTCTCTTCGGTTTCCTTTCTTCTCAAATTGGTTGTCACCCCCTGCAGCCCAGTGAGACTGCTATAAACTCTAGGCTGCTGTTTTTGTCCCATGTCTGTGCCCAATGGCAAGCTAAGAAATGCCTTGAAGGGAAAGGTTGTGGTGAACATGAGGTCCACTCAATGTATTTCTCTTTACTCTGGTGTATTCGTAGCATTGGCTATTCTCCAATGGCTTCAAAACTTGAATTTGTATGTGTGAAGGGTATATGTACATGTGTGTGGTATGTGTATATTACTAAACTCAGGTTTGGTGCCGCTTGTTGCCCAAGACACAAAAATTCAAGAGGCAAGAGTTGGTGAGGAGAAACGGTATTTAATTTAATTTAATTTTTATTCTGGATGCTGGCAGCCAGGGAACATGGTGCACTGCTGTCCTGAGAAATGCCATCTTCCATGAGCTGACGATAATTAAGGACTTTTATAGGCACATATTATAGGTTGGGAAGAACAAAGAGAAGCAGCGGAGTCAGGCAGGTCTGAGGGCTGATGGTTTGAGAAATCACTTCCCTGGGTCTGGTCCATTTGAAGGTAACGTTATCTCCAAACTTGACTATGTGGCCAGGGTGACTGACATCAGGGGCTTTATGTATCACCAGTAAAAACTGCACAGTAGTTGCAAAATGTATTCAGGCACCTGGATGCCTGAGGACTAAGGATTTACTGTTTTTGGTTAGTGCTCTGCTGATTAATTGGAGTAACAAAGTATGAATAACCTTGAGCGAGGGAACAAAGCAGTCATTGAATCAAACAGTGAGGGGGAGAAATACTGGGAAAACAGAAACTACAGGATAAATCAAGTTGTAGGATGACTAAGCTATGAATCTCTTAAGTTTCACCCTTACGTGTGTGTGTGTGTGTGTGTGTACGTGTGTGTGCACTGCATTCTTTTTGTTGAGAGGGCCTAAAAGCAATTATCAGCCAATGGCAAGGAGCACACATAGCATGCATATATTGTTTTCTAAATGCCACTCTCATAAAAAGAAACAGGGATCCTTGGAAAATGCCTTATTTTATATGCAGGACAGAGGTAATAATAGATGCTTGGTAAAATATAAGAAAATATAAGAGCTTGGTACATCTTATGCCAATAATAATAATAATAATAATAATAATAATAATAATAGAGCTTGTGAAAAGGACATAGGAGTTGACTTATGTCTCTCTGGCCAATAAGAAGAGGTAATAGGCCAGGAGAGATGTTATGGGCTGAATATTTGTGTCCCCTCCTAAATTCATATGTTGGAGCCCTAACCCCCTATTTGGAATTGGGCCTTTAGGAGGTGATTAGGTGCAGATGAAGTCACGAGGGTGGGCCCTTATAAGAAGAGGCATGAGAGAACGCTCTCCATCTCCATCTCCATCTCCATCTCCGTCTCCATCTCCATCTCTACCTCACTGCTCTCTCTCTCTCTTCCTCCCCTCCACAAGTGCACATAAAGAGGCCATGTGAGCACACAGTGAGATGGTGGCCATGGACAAGTAAATAGGAGAGGTCTCGGAATGAAACCTACCTTAATGGCACCTTGATCTTGGAATTGTAGTCTCCAGGACTGAGAGAAATAAATTTCTATTATTTTTTAAAAGATTTTATTGGGTAATTGGGGGAGAGAACAGCGTTGAGGAATCGGGGAAGGGGAACAGACAAGTTGCTGTCCTTTTGTTCTTCAGCCTAGTTGTGGAGGACATCACTTCACTGGCCCATGTTGGTATTGTGATCATTGAGCTCTTCCCAGGTGAGGCAGATTGGTTGCCGGCCATTGGACAGCTGCTCACAGCAGCTCACACCGGCTGCTGGCCACTCCCGCTGGCTGCCAGCCACTCACGGTAGCTCACGGCAGCCCACTACAGCCCCAGTGCAGCCTATGCCATCACCAGTGACTCACGGCAGCCCAACTCCAAATCAAGCTGTTGTTCACTATCTTAGCTATAGAGGGTGCAGCATCACTGGCCCATGTGGGATCTGAACCGGTGGCCCAGCTGCTCAGAGCTCTCGTTCCCAAGCCAACTCTTAACCAATGAGCCACTTTGCTGGCCCCCATAAATTTCTATTGTTTAAGCTGCCTAGTCTATGGTGTTTTGTTATAGTAGCCTGAGCAAACTAATACAGGAGACAATTGAGCATCAAAATAAATAAAGATTAAGATGAAATAGGAGTCCATGAGATATAAATAAATTAATGAATAAATAATGAGAGAAAAGGAAAAGCCATTTCTTACAGTGAATGCCAATCAATAAATGTAGAAGGAATGGTGGTGGTAGAGCCATGTCTTGCCAGCATAATAGTAACATTCAGGTAAGAATGATCAATGGATGGAAGTTTTGTGGTTGGTAGTCACGTAAGGTAGTCTTGTAGCAGTAACCTGCAGCTGGGAAAAACAGCCTTGAGCCACATCCTGCCCCTCTGCCCCCAATAAGAAACAATAAGCAGACAGAACCAAAATCGCAGGAGAGATAAGCAGACCCAGGGAAAGTTCCTAAAGTCACTTATGCACATTAGTTAAAAGTCCTGTCCTATAGTTAACTTTTCCTCATTATCATAGTAAAAAATACTCCCCTAGGGGGAAATTTAAGAAGCCAGTGAGATGCAACGCATGTAGTAGCATACAGGTACACTGCACAGGAGCAGTGTAGAACCCACCTCAACATACTTTAGCGAGGGAAAAAGGAAACAGGAAAGGGTGGCCTCCAACCCCAGGAGCCTGTAAACCCACCATGCCTGTAAGACTCGGGGAGCCACATCTGTTCCCATTCGGAGTGTGCATCAAGCATTCACTTCAATAAAACTTTCTCTCTGCAAAACTGGTTTGGCCACTCTCTTGATTTGTATCCTAGAAGGGGCAAGGACCTCTGCGCCAGTAACAGTTTGATGAAGGAGGGAATATCTACTTAGTCTTGAAATATTTCCCCACAAAATAGTTCATTAATTACAAATGGAAAAAAGGAAATTTGCAGTGGAAAACCTGGTTAAACAAATGATGAACTAAATGCATCATGCCATCCTGGATTAGATCCTGAATCTAAGAAAAAAAACTAAGAAGGACATTAATGATACAAATGACAAAATTTGAATATGGACTGTGTTTTAGTTAATAATATTGTGTCAAGGTTGAATTTCCAGCTTTCATCTTGTACTGTGATCATGTAAGAGGTATTTTTATTTTCAAGTATTTAAGGGGTAGTAAAGCCTAGTGTCTGCAACTTATTTTCAAATGGTTCAGGAATAAAACAAGTACATGTTACACATATAGAGACAGAATGTGAGAAAGCATGTGCACGTGAGATAAAGTAAATGGGGCAAAATGTTTAAAATGGTAAATTTGATAGAGAATTTATAGGAGCTCTTTGTCTATTATACTTTTCTGCAAGTTTGAAATTATATAAAAATTTAAAGGTTAACAAAAGATAATATCTCAACAAAGCAGAAAAAAACATAAAAAAATTCCTTCTTGTCCAAAAAATATATCTATCTGAAAGTTCATAGTTCAAAGGCTCTGTTGAATGACCCAGTATCACCAGAATGCCCTCCTGGATTTCTCCCACCCTATTGTCCAAGGAGGGATTTCCTCCTTTTGCACAGCCTGAGCCATTACACATGGGTTCCTGTCAAGCATGTACAGTTGAGTCTTCATGTTTAACTGCCACTTGGGCTGGAGCCATCCTTGGAACCTTGAGGCAGGAGGCTTGCAGCCCCAGGAAGCAGCAATTGGCCTAATACGAGCAGCACCTGTGGACTGTGGGAGGACTAGGACTAACTAGGTTTTCAGGCTCTCTGATCCACCAAGAACTCTGGAAAGGGAGCCCCTGGGAGTGTCCGCGTCACTATGAGCAAAGAAAGAAAGAACTTTATTCTGTTGGATGAATGATTATAAGCTCCTGCAGAATGCCTCAGGCAGGTATGTAAGGCCCAGGTCCTCAGTTATTTTTCTATTAACTTACCATTAGTAACCCAAGTATGTCCTTTGAATATAATAGTGTTTGTACTCATAGCTGGGTTGCAGGGCTCCTGCTTTCAAATGAGTATGTATTTTTTAAAGGCAAGTATGCTGTCTTGTTTCAATAAGTTCCACTATAATTACATGTAATATAAAAGTATCATAATTAAGACCAATGAAATCTCTGTTGATTGGATTTGAAGAAATATATTTTCCAAGTATATCAAGTTCAGTTATATGAGAATTTGTGATATTGCCTCGTATGGTAAGGATGCAAGACGTTCTAATTTTTCATTAGCAATAAAAATATTCAAAATTGTATAATTAGTTTTTTTAGAGCATATCCTTTCTAAGGTACTCAAAAATTTTGCGTATTTCCTGGTAGGTGTTGATTTTGATACAAAAGAGTCACTAGTCTATGAAGACTGCTACCTTCACACAGATCACATGGCTGGTAGGGTCTTTGTATTCTCCCTACATTTAGTCAAGAACTCTGATAGTTCCACTGCAGTCCTAATGCTGGTATCATCTGGGGTTTTTAGATCCACATTATTATTTATCAACAGTATTTTGAACTTAACCATGAATTACTAGTTATGTTGCCACTATTCTTGTGTCCTGTGTTTCCGTCTTTCTTGAATTCAGTTTTTATTTTGTACTACAGAGCATCCTAGAGGAAGTCTTTCAGAAAAGGCTGTGTATGGTAAACTTTCTACCTCTTTGCCTGTCCAAGAGTGTATTTAGTTTGCTTGTACACAGGATTCTCATTTGCCAGCCCCAGAACTTGCTGGGGAGTGATAGTACTAATCATCCTCGTAACTGGGTCATCTTTCTGGGAATGTACGTTAATGTTGTCACATTAATACGTGGTGTGCATGTACATAATCTTTACCAGAAAGATATTTCACAGATGGGCATAGAGTAGAATTTCAATGCCTACATTAACATTTAAATTAATTCCTAAGTAAGTTTGGAATAGTGACCTTTCTTGATCAAGTCAATAAAACTGTTTTTGCCTGGAGAGAATTAATGATTTCTCCAATTACTTGATTTGAACCTAGGAAGCAGTCTACTCCTGCCCATTTAATGTGTTTTAAATTGAGCCAGCCACTTCACATTGTCTAAGAGTTTTGTGAAAATCCAGGGCTATATATTTTGGTAACATTTCCAGTTGTTTACTCTTTTCTTTGGTAGTAAATTATTTTTTATGACTTTTTAAATAATCTTATGTTAAGATTTACTGTCATGTATTTTTCTTATATCCTTATTTAGATTAATTTTTTCTACATTTGCATTTTATGTCTGTGTTTTACTTTCTATTTTCTAGTATCAGGGATGAAAAGGATGCCCAGGGCTTGAACTTCGATGTAACCGAAGAAGTGGAGTCTTTAAGAAGTTCCAGCTTGGTTATAGGAACAAGTGTGAATGTCAGTCATGGTCCAGGAAGGCTCGTAGAACGGCAAAAAGAAGTAAAGCCAAAAATGATAATGTTGCTAAATGATGTTAATTTATCGAGGTGTCAACCTACAAAAGTCTTTTCATAAGAAATCAGCCCTGTTTTTTGTTTTTTTTTTAAAGGGGGGGGTAGCTGTCATGATGATAAATATAAGTATGAGCCTGCTCATGTGAGTCTTTAATACTGTCTCCAAATTTAATGAAAAATAATATATTTTGACAATCAATTTTTCTATTTACTATTCAAGAAAAGTAATAATTCTAAGCACCTCCCTACGTTTTTCTGGATGCAATTTAAAATGTAAATATAAGATGGAATGAAAACTTGCATGATTTTGTAGAAAACTCTGGGAGCAATGGAGCGATTTGATAAATGGGACATGTCATCTACACTTAAGTTGGAGTCGGCTCTGGACAGAGCGAATTTCCAGACAGGTCCTCCCAGAGGTTTCTCCGGTCACTCTAGACTGGTAAGCTCGAATGATAAAAATGCTTACTGTGAATTTACACATGGTGGATTTCAATGCCTACAACTCAATGCCTATGTCTCTTTCTATGACATAAAATTTAGATTCCCTCCAAAACGAATAGAATTCTTCTATGAAATGAAAAGTCAAGAAAATTTGAAAGTGGTTACTTACTTTTAACATATGTACTTCCAACAGGCTTTAACTGATTCCAGTATCTCCACAAAATGGTATCAATAATACTGAAAACTGATACATCTGTGAATAAAGTTTCTGTTATTTTCTCCTTATTTGCAAAATTTTTATCAATTCACAAGTACCAGCCCAAAATCCTCTTGTAAGGAATATCTTGTATACATAAAAAAAATAATTTTTTAAAAAAGATTTTCATTAAAGTGTAGCTAACGAACAATATTATATTAGCTTCAGGTGTACATAATAGTTACTCAACAGTACCCATCTGATGTTATACAGAGTTATTGCCATATTATTGATTATATTCCCTATGCTAAAAAAAGTGATCAACATGATCAGTCCAGCAACCATCTGACACCATACCATGCTATCACAATATTATTGACTATATGTCCTATGCTGTATATTACATCCCCAAGACTTATTTGTTTTATACCTGTAACTTTGAACCTCTTATTATTCTTTACCTTTTCATTCCCTTTTTAATTTTTCAATTTGAGTTGACATTCAATATTATTTTATATTAGTTTCAAGTGTACAGCACAGTAGTTAGACATTTATATAATTTAAGAAGTGATCCCCCTGACTAGTACCCACCTGGCACTATACATAGTTATTACCATATTATTGATTATACTCTCTATACCTTACATTCCCATGATTATTTGCTACTACAAATTTGTATTAATTAATCACTTTATGTTTTTCACCCTGCCCCTGACCCCCTCCCATCTATCACCCTGATAGATCTAGTATCCATCTGACACTATACATAGTTATTAGAATATTACTGACTATATTCCTTATGCTATACCCTGCATCCCCATGACTACTATGTAACAACCAATTTGTACTTCTTAAGCCCTTCCCCTTTTCGCCTGCCCCCAACACTCCTCCCACCTGTCAACCATCAAAATGTTCTCTGTATCTATGAGTTTGTTTCTGTTTCATTTGTTTATTTTGTTCTTTAGATTCCACTTATATTTAAAATTTTATGACATTTGTCTTTCACTGTCTGACTTAGTACACTCAGCACAATATTCTCTAGGTCCATCCATGTTGTCGCAGATGACAAGATTTTGTTCTTTTGTACAGCTGAGTAATATTCTATTATATATATGTACCACTTCTTCTTTATCCACTCGTGCATTTGGGGACACCCAGGTTGCTTTCATGTCTTGGCTTATGTAAATAATGCTGCAATGAACATATGGATGAGCACATCCCCTTGAAGTAGCATTTTGGATTTGTTCGAATAAATACCCAGAAGTGGGATTACTGGGTCCTTCTTTGGGTCTCTTGTTATAGTCTTTGTTTTAAAGTCTATTTTGTCTTGTGTAAGTATTGCTACTCCAGCTTCTTGTTTGCTTGTTTGCTTGTTTCCATTTTCATGAAATATCTTTTTCCATCCCTTTACTTTCAGTTTGTGTGTGTCTTTCGATCTGAAGTGAGTCTCTTGTAGGCAGCATATGCAAAGGTCTTGTTTTCTTATTGATCCAGCTCCCCTATCTTTTGATTGGAGCATTTAATCTATTTACATTGAAAGTAATGGTTGATAAGTATATAGTTATTGTCATTTTATTATTCATATTTTTTATCTTTTTTTTCATCTTAAAGAAGCTTCTCTAAAATTACTTGTAATAGTGGTTTGGTGGTGATGAACTCCTTTAGCTTTTTCTTGCTTGGGAAGCTCTTTATTTGTCCTTCAATTCTAAATGATAGCTTTGCTGTTTAGAGTAATCTTGGTTGTAGGTCCTTGCTTTTGCTCACTTTTAATATTTCTTGCCAGTCCCTTCTGGCCTACAATGTTTCTGTTGAGAAATCAGCTGATAGTCCAATGGGGGCTCCCTTATAGGTAACTAACTGCTTTTCTCTTGCTGCCCTTAAGATTCTCTCTTTGCATTTAACCTTTGGCATTTAAATTATAATGTGTCTTGGTGTTGGCTTCTTTGGATTCATCGTGTTTGGGACTCTCTGTGCTTCCTGGGCTTGTAAATCTATTTCCTTCACCAGGTTAGGGAACTTTTCTGTCATTATTTCTTTAAATAGGTTTTCAATTCCTTGCTCTCTCTCTTCTCTTTCTGGTACCCCTGTAGTGCAAATGTTACTGCTCTTAAGGTTCTCCCAGAGGCCCTTTAAACTATCCTCATTTTGTTTTCAATTCTTTTTTTCTTTTTTCTTTCCTTATTGGATGTTTTCTGCTACCTTGCCTACTAAATTACTGATTTGATTGTCTGCTTCACCTAATCTGCTGATTCCCTGTGATGTAGTCTTCATTTCTGTTATTGTACTCTTTATTTCTGACTGGTTCTTTTTTTATGTTTCCTATCTCTTTGTTGAAGTTCTCACTGAGATCATTGAGCATCCTTATAACCAGTGTTTGGAACTATGCATCTGGTAGATTGCTTGTCTCCATTTTGTTTAATTCTTTTTCTGGAGCTTTGTTCTGTTGTTTTATTGAGTTGTTGGAAAAGTCATGACGCATTTTTGCAATGAAAAACACAGAAAAAATACGTCATGACTTTACTGACAACCTAATATTTGGGACATATTTCTTTGTCTCCCCAATTTTGGCTGCTTCCCTGTGTTTGTTTCTATGTATTAGGTAGATCTGCTATTTCTTCTAATCTTAGTAGAGTGGTCTTATATAGTAGGTGTGCTGTGGGGCTCAGTGGTGCAGTCTTCCTGGTCACTTGAGCTGCACAGTCCAGATGTGTCCCTTGGATGGGTTTTGTGTGCCCTCCTCTTGTAGTTGAACCTTGGTTGATAATTGCCCATCAATGGGAGGGACTGACCCTTGGGCTTACTGGTTATGAGGACTCACTGTGACTACCGTGGAGGAGCTGTGGTGCAGGGGCTGACCCTACAGAGCAGGACCTGCCTCAGCAAGACCCTGGTGCCTGCCCAATCTTCCCTTTGAGTGTGTTTCTCTTGGAGGCACCTGGGTGATGCTTCAGCTCCTTTCAAAGCTTGCCACTGGGGGTGCCAGCCCCAGGGCCACCTAGGAGGGACCCCACTGTAGCTCAAGTTCAGCCTTAGCCAGTGCCCCATCTGGGGCCACCCAGTAAGAGCAACAAAGAAATTGTTGGTGGTGTCACCTGTGCCATGCTTGGAAGTGCCTTGAGAGGCTAAGCTGTGAACCAAGGTCAGCCACTAGTGCCGGGCTTAGGGTTGTCCAGTCAGAGAGGTACAGGACATGCTCAAGCCAGATGCTGCTTGTCTGGGTTCCGTGAACCTTTGAGAGACCCCAGGAAAGCCTGCAGCATGAGCTAAGGCAGGCAGTTTGTATGAAAAAGCACTGGAAGCAGATTGGGTGTGCCCAAAAGTTAGGTGGGGTAGGATCTCAAATCACCAGGGCATGGCAAATGAGTGCATTCACCAGCTTTATGGAGACTGAGGTATGGCAGCTGCCTACATCTGCACACCAGGAAGGGGAAAGGCTCAACAAAGAAACATGACCTCTGCCAGCTCCTCTGTCCAGGAGAAAGCTACCCCTTCATCCCCCATTCCAAAACTAGACAACTCAGTTCCCTTCCCGTATGTCCCTGCTGCCTCTCCAGCTGCTGCCCCAGCGCTGGAGTTCAGAGCCAGTGATCCTGAGTAAGTCTGTGTGCAGTCCCTTTAAGAGGAGCATCTGGGAATGCAGCCACCCTCAGTTTTATTCAGTCACAATCTCTGCTCATTTTCACAACCAGAAATTATGGGGACTTCTCTCCCCGGCACTGCAACACTGGGCTGGGGAGCCTGGTGTGGGGCTGGGACCCCTTGCTCCTTTGAGGGGTGTCTCCACAGTCAAGATATTCCTCCCAGTTTTTAATGGTCCATGCGGGTATGGGACCATTCCATTCTGCGTCTCTGACCCTCTTACCAGTCTCGAGGTGGCTTCCTCTGCATGTCCTTAGTTGTACGGCTTTGGTTCAACAAGATTTTAGGTGATTCAACGATATTTGTTTTGTAGTTTAGTTGTACTTTTGGGGTGGTCATGGGAGCACAGAATTTACCTATTGCATCATCTTAACAGGAAATCTGTAGGAAAAAATTTAAAAGAAAATAGCATGAGGTAAATTAAAAATTGTGGCCTATTGCTTATAGACTTTTAACTTCTGAAGGATCTACTAATGTTAATTTCCAAATAGTTTTAATTATATCACTTATACTGTATATTGCAGTATGTGTGTTTTTCTAAATTGCCTTTCTCCATTTTGTTTACTGGTTAGTGGAGCATTTTGTTCCATTCTTACCACACAAATAAGGCAAATTGAACACCAATAATGTGATGACAATATGATAATCATACAAATAGACAATAAACATAGCAAATGAATACATCAGTGTAGGTGAGATGGTGTCACATTGGGGAGAAAAATGGAAAAAAAGAATTCAGGCTAGGGTGAAATTATAAATATGACATCTGTTTCCTACATAGATGTGCTCCAAAAGAGTCATTTAATGTGATGAGAATAAATACAAACCTGTGAGGGCCACATTTTCTGCCTAAAGCTTAATTCACTTAACTGTAGTTATTAAAATTTGGATCAACTTTAATGGAAGCAGTTGAAGTACTTAAAGCCAAAAGCTTTATATGTTATAAATCACCTAGTTATAAGCATACTTTATTTAAAGGTAAAAAGGAAAAGACAGTTCTCGCTATGTGAATGATATAGTGTAAAGAGCTATCAAATAACATCTGTGTAGTCTTTCAAAATAAACATGCTATTTCATCTTAGGCTCAGGGCATCTCAGTTCACACATTTGTTCAAAAGCAGGCATGTGAATCAGATGGAAAATAACACAAATATTTATTTATATGCTCCATTATTTTGGTTCCCTATGAAACAAACTCTAATGTATTAATAATTGTCAAATTTCTTTTATTTGGAATGGTTTAAGTACATAATTTGGCTTAATTGAGGATTCTAGCCACATTAGCCCCACATTTTCAGTTATGTGGGATCCAATTATAGGTCAGTTGTCTCCAGCATCTAGAACTTAATGATATCTTCCTTTCTTTCTGCTTCTTTTAGTAAAACAAAAGCCAAACAGAAGTACCAGTCCAACCTGTGGTTAGAAATTGAACAGCTGAATAAGGGTGAGAAGCGCATACTAAAAGGGTATGGGGCTAATTGTTGCCTAAATCAGGACTTCTTCACTCTACTCCTATGGGTCTATTTGGCCACATGAGAGCCAGCTTTCCATGCAGGTGGGAGAATAGCTCTCATAATAAGCCAGCCTGGATTCCATAGTTAGTGTGTGTGTGTGTGTGTGTGTGTGTGTGTGCGCGCGCGCGCGCGCGTGTGTGTGTCTGTATATGTGTCTACTCTTTTTTGATATAATGTTCAAAAAGCCATTTTGCTTGGTTTTATTTTATTACAATTTAGAGATTTTTCTGTCATGGTAAAATAAAAATATTTTGCTTTAAGAGGAACTACCTTTGTTCAGTACCATGAGATATTTCATAAAAATGTTTTTTTAACAGATAAAAAATTTTTATTTCACACCTGTCACTTTTCCATTTTGAAATTCTGCCATGTGTTACAGCATCAGGCAGAGCCACTCTGGGGATGTGAAAGGCTGCTGTGTTCACACTGGCCAGGGTGGAGGGAATTTGTACCTGTGCGCAGAGCTGTGCGGGGCTGTAAGGTACAGCCAAGAAATGTCACAGGAGACTTATCAACTGCCAGTGGGATGCTCATGATCATCCTCCACTTTTGATTTGTGGACTGCCTGCCATTGTCAACTATGTATCAACCGCTTTTTTCTCTGTTAAGATTTTTTTTACTCTTTATTTATTTTTTATTTATTTGTTGTGAAATAAACATTTTTAAAATTAGTTTCAGCTGTACAACACAGTGCAATAGTTATAAGTTTTACCTCTCAAAGTGACAACACCCCTATTCCAATCTGCCGTCCCACTTCCCCCCCCCCATATCACACATATCTATTACAATTCCCTTGATTCCACTCCCGCACCATACTCCACGCCCCTTGACTATATATATATATATATATATATATATATATAT